ATCCCTGGTACCAAAAAAAAAAAAAAAAAGAAGAAGAAGAAGAAGAAGTGAAAATGTAGTTGAAGTTCTTGTCCTGTAGCTAAGTAACTATGTGATACAGGCTTCTCAGAAGCCACTGGACATTGGGTGTTCTTGTATAATGGAGTGAGGAACGTAAATTACAGAATATCTTCAAGTCTTTACAGTCCTTTAACCTTTTAAAGTCTATTTTTTAAAAAGTTTTAAACTTTAAATCTCACCTCATCTGAAGAATCTGCTTGTCCCAATGTTCCTGTTGCACCTCCAAAACCTTCAGATGAGAAAAAGAAAGTTGTTCTTCATACTTTTATACACTGACTTACTTTAAATTTATTTTGAAACATGTAAATATCAAAAAGCTAAGTTTTATTATATTAGACACTTCATTCTAACAGTTATCTTGGCAAAGTTCAACATTTATAAATAAATTTGGGCCTAATAGGTTGATCCTTCAATAGGAAACCTCCAATGAAAACCCAGATTGAATACAGTAATTACAAATGGTATTTCAGAAAGATGTCTTTCTTTTTAGTTTTAAACCATGATTTACTAAAACATTGAGCTAATAAAATTGTGGGCTACATCAATGAATGGAATGGACCAATGAGGTGAATGATGAATGCAGTTCTATAGGACATTTTTTAGAAGCTCTTGTCCTGTTGTATTGAGTAGTCATACAGTATCTTGTCAACTATATAACTAATTTGGTTTTTATATCTTCTGTAAAAAGCATAAACAAGCATAATTTTCTTCCTAGTGGATAATGCAACAGAGAAAAGAAATCCTCTATATTTAAAAAGGAAAATGTTATTCTTTGAGAAGTTCATATTTTGTGACATCTGCATTGATATCAGTATTACAGATGGCACTGTTATTCATGAGTCATTTTAACATTCTCTCTGTGAAATCATGGTACAGTCACTTCAGCGGCAAAAGTGCTTATTTTTTAAAAAATATAAAAATATTTGTATAATGTAACTTTATGCTTCCAGACAATAATGTACGTTAATAGCAAGAAATGAACTTACTGAGAAGTGATATATAGTGAAGTTGTTTTTTTTAAAAAAATACACTAAGGAAAATAAATGTGAACCTTGTTGCAAGGTATAAAGTTAAAGCCAGAGGAGATCCCACTGAAATCTACTGCTGAATAATCACATTTCCCTTTAGCAGAAACCTGTGGATGTACCATGCAATGGTGTCTGTATATATTTTGTTCTTTGACTAAAAGAAAAACCTCCAGCAATAAAAAAATAAAAAATAAAAATAAAATTGTAGGCTACTGGTGAATAGTACCTGCTACATTTCTAATGAATTAGAACCAAAACCAACTAACCAAATTCCATTAGGGAAAGTACATTTACTTCTTTGGTCAATCTGTTCTTTCTTCTAAAATTTTACTCTTGTTTAAAAAATGGCATTGTTGGGCCAGGGATTTAGCTCAGTAGTGCCACTGCCTGCCTCACAAGCGCAAGGTCCTGGGTTAGATCCCCAGTACAGCAAAAAAAAAAAAAAAAAAAAAAAAAAAAAAAATGGTATTGTCTTAGCTGAAAATAAATTTGTTCAACAATGCATAAAAGTTCGAGGGATTTTTTTGTTTCTTTGTCTTAATACAGAAAAGTCACTATTGTTCCATTTAAATACTAAGACAAACCTGGAACAGCCAGAGTACTGGTACCAGCAGATGGCTCCTGCATGCCATACACAAGCTTATCCTCGGGATATGTGAGTCCAGAGCTCTTCAAAGCTACAAGGTACTTTTCATGACTCTTTTTCACACAAGCATTTTCTCCAAGACCTAATATTTAGAACAATTTAAAATTAGAAGAAATATTCCACTCAAAATCTAAGCAAAATAAGCTCTTTAACTAATATGCACATAAATAAAATTGGTGAATATTCTAATGGAGGAGAAACTGTATAATAAAGAACATAAATAGTTTCAGATAACATTTTTGTGTGTATGTTTGATATTAACAAACCCAGAATGCACAGCATACTTATAATAAATATCTGGTAAGAGACTACATTCAAGACACAAGCGGTATAAAGAATAGTAAGACATGATCCAGCCTTCAGGAACCTGAAAACCAGTGATAAAGAAAGGAGGCAGATAATATGGTAGATGCCAACAATGTAGAAGACTTCACCTTTAGTTTGCCAATCTCTACTCTTCTAACATCAAGCATTCAGAGTTACCCAAAGTACAGGACTCAGGAAAGATAATGCCAGAGTGAAATTTTCAAGTAGTATACTACAAATGAAATTACTTTAATTCTTGGTTTTTTTGGTTTTTGTTTGTGTTTGAGACAGGATCTCACATGTAGTTCAGGTCAGCACTGAACTCAGTATGTAGCCAGGGCTGGCCTCAAACTCATGGCAATCTGCCTGCCTCAGCCCCCCAAGTGCTAGGATTACAGGTATGCACCACCACACCTAGCCATTAATTCCTGTTTTTAATCAACCTTTTTACTGCATACTTATTAACAGTTAAGGAATTAAAAGTATAATTTCTAATTAAACATTAGATAAGACAGTGCTCGCTTCGGCAGCACATATACTAAAACATTAGATAAGACAATTCTCAAAATATTTTTGAAAAGTTTAGGTTCTATAATTAAATAATCCTAAAATTTTAAGTATTTCAGCTTACTACTTGTTGCTAATCTTTTCTTTTGTTTTTAATATATTATTGAAGATAGGATGATAGCAAAAGAAAAACAGGTTGATAATAAAGAATTCTGTTTTGGGGGGTGTACTGGAGATCGAACTTGGGACCTTATGTTTGCGAGGCAGGCAGCAGAACCACTGAGCTAAATCCCCAGCCCCAATGGAGAATTCTTGAAAGGGAAAATTATTCTGTATGTGGAAGCTAAATTTTCATGGCATTTTCCACCTTTAGGTAGTTTGGGAATCTCAAATTAAGCTCTGAATCGCTCTGATTATATAAATGTATAAATGATTTTAATATTTGCTGAGCTTTTTTCTTTGATAGCATCAAAAATAGCAACTAGAAAACTAGAATGGTTCTTTAATTTTCAATCTTTGTCTGCCCTTGTTTAAAAAAACAATCCAGGGCCAGGGATTTAGCTCAGTGGTTCCACTGCCTGCCTCGCAAGCACAAGGTCCTGAGTTCGATCTCTGATACCAAAAAAAACCCAACAATCCAACACAGATGAAATAAATGGGAATAGTACATTCTTTCAATTCAAGGCCAATATTAAAAACAACCACAATGACTTTATGAAGAATAAAAAGACTAAGGGCTGAGAGTGCAGCTCAGTGGTACAACTTTTGACTGGCAAGTGTGAGGCACTGAATTCTATACCCAGCACCACATACACACACACATACACACACACACACACACACACACACACAAGGGAAGAAAGGAGGGACAGATGACTAAATTTCTCCTGGATAATAAAAGCTAGGCACTGATCTCAATAATGACAGATATTCACCTAGCAAAATGTATTTTGTCCATGTCCCACAGTAATTCCAAGAAAAACGAATGCGTTTTCTCAAGCAAAGAAGCTGAGGATTACAGAGATAACATAGATAGCCAGTGAGTATGCAAGCACAGTAAAAATGAAGCTCGATTATAAATATCCAACTTTGGAGTCCAAATCTGATTTGATTTCCATCACTAAACGTTAAATAAAGATTGTTGCTAATGTTGTTTAATTTCAAGAAATAAGAATTTTTTCAAATTGTAGAAATAAAAGAGGACAACTGCCACAAGTCATTCCTAAAATTAATGTTCCCACAATAGTTAAGAACCTGCTTGATCTCCTTCTCAATAGTTCATGGTTTCTAAATAAACATTTTGTAGTTTGAAGAAACAACAGATGTCCTGATATGATCTTTATCTCTCTTCAGCTTCATTGCCAAAGCTCAAATAAAAGCCACCATTATCTTTATCCTAGACTGCTGCCCTTGAACTGCTTTTCTTGCTCCTACCAATTTCTTCTTGGCAAGACAATAGGCCATCCTTTTAAATCACATATCTCATCATCTCGCTCTTAAGGTTAAAATATTTCCATGACTTCCCATTGCATTTCAATTAAGATATAAAAACTGCCCATACTGGATCCTGACCAGGATCTAGTAAAATATGGCAGTCTTATTTGGGCCACTGTCCTATATTCATTTCACTTCAACAGCCCTCATCTTTTTAATCCTTTAGAAAGAAACAGATTCATTCCCATCCACAAATATCTCCACATGCTCTCCCTCCACCTAGAATTTAGGAGGTGTACATGTGTAATTTATCATGGCTGCAGTTCTTAAGTATCTTGGATTTGCAAATCAATGTTTTTCATACAATTTGGGGGAATTCAGTCATCATTTCTTCAAATATTCGGGATTCCAATAACAATGCTTGTTAGATCACCAGATTCTAATAGGCTCTTGAGGCTCTGTTGTGTGTTTTTCAATCATTTTTATCTCTTGTTCTCTAGATTCGATAATCTACTGATCTATATTCAAATTCACTGACTCGTATATCCTTATCCAATCAGCTGCTAAGCCCATCGGGTGAGTTTTTCAAATCCATTATTGATAGTACAATAACTTTTAGTCCTAGAATTTTACTTTGGTTCTTTTTCTTTACATTTCTTTGCTAGGATTCCTTCTCTCTTCACTCAATAACACCATATTTTCCTTTAATTCTTTGAACATATTTATATTAGATGCTTTAATGTCTTCATCTATTAAATCCAACATCTTGGCCTCTTAAGGTTAATTTCTAGTGGCTGCTTTTTTATAAATCATAGCAATACAGTTTTTTTGTTTGGTTTGGTTTGGTTGTTATTGATATTATTGTTTGCACCCACACTAGACAACTACTGTATCACTGAGCTACCACCTCAGGCCTTTTTAAAATTTTATTTTGAGACAAGGTCTCATTAATGTGCCCAGGCTGGCCTTGAACTTGCAATCTTCTGCCGCATTCTCCTGAGTAGCTGGGATTACAGGCATAGGCCACCAGCTCCACTCCAGTTTCTTGTTCCTTACATGTCTCCTAGTTTTTTATCATATAATGGAGAGTCTAATGATAAATTATATTAGATTCTAGGTTGTTTCCTTCCTCTAAAGCCTAAATTTTATTCTAAAGACAGTTCAGGCACAGGTTGATCACTCATGAATATTGAGTTTTATACTTTGTAACAGATAGATATGCAGGAAGCTTGCCCAAATGTGTCCAAAAGATGCTCTAAATTGACAGGAGTCACCTCCAAACTCTGCCTTCCTTGCAGATACAGTTAGGGTTATACACTTTCTTAAGGCTAACCTAGAACAGACCTTACTGTAAAATTTGGCCTTCTGGTGTCTCAGCTAGATGCCTGGGGTAACAGCAAGACAACACCCAATCTAGATGGACCAAAACTCCAAAGTTCTCCAACACTGCTTGACTTCTAACATCTCCATTCAGCTTCTGACTTCACAGGAGTCACACTCTAACAAGCTTAGGCAGCCTCATACTGGATTTCATAATCCAGTCCTCGGCCAATTAAGTATCTACATGGGTTCCTCTTCACATCTCAGTATTCTGCCCAGTATTTCCACCAACTTCAGCTGCCCTATCCTGTAATCTCTACAGGACCAACACACTCTGCTACAATGCAAATTTCCCAGACTAAAGTTAGGAAGTGTTTCCAGAGGAATTGTGGAGCTCGTATTTATTTTTTCACTCAAGAGTTTAGCCTCATGCAGTTGTCCAATGCTTAAAAACAATTGCCTCATCTTTTGTCCAGTCTTACATTTTTTATGACATAAGGGTAAGTCTAGTAGCCAGAAGCAGATGTCTTCTACTTATAATTTAATCCCACCTCTTTACCACACAACTCCCCTCATCTTCTAAATGATTTATTCTCAACCATTAGGTTTTATTTTGAATACTGCTTCCCAACAAATTAAAGAAATACTTAATTAATTTTAAATATTGCTTCACCACCTACCACACCACTGAAATCCAGGTCTCTCTTTTATAACCACTTGTTCTACCCTTTCATTGCATTTACTACAGTTTATAATTATATAACTTTTTGGTTTAAGTTTTATTAATGTCATCTCACTTATTAGACCATAAGTTTTATAAGGACTAGGATAGGATCACATGGTATATACTTCTACCTTTCCAAATAAGCCCAGACCCAAGAGTATAATGAATGCTTAATAAGAATCTGTTGAAGAAGTAAACATAATACATAAGACTATCTAACATATGGTAAATAACTCATATGAAAAAATTTACGACTCTAAAGATGCATGATAAACTTCAATTTTCAAACCATCCTGTCACTACCAGTAAGAAAAAAACACAGTTGAAAATACTGATAAGGTTTTTAAATAACTGATATATTTATTGTTATATCACCTGGGCAGACTAAAGGTATTAAAACTATTTTCTATAGTGGCATACCAGGTACACAAATATTCAACAATTTTAAGTTTTATACTTTAAACTCGATATTATAAAATCCTCAGACATACAATTCTAAAGTTTAGAATACAAAAAAATAAACAAAATGGTTGCTGTCTAAAAGGGGGGGGCAGAGTATAATTATGAATATGTCACATCAAAAGATAAGAAAGAAAGAAAGAAAGAAAGAAAGAAAGAAAGAAAGAAAGAAAGAAAGAAAGAAAAGAAAAGAAAAGAAAGAACCCAAGTTCTCCCATATAAATTAGTTGTAAGTTCTAAAGCAGTTCGCTTAACTTTTCTGGAGCTAAATTATCTCATCTGTAAAATAAAAATTTCTCCTAATCATTTCCGGATTTAACATTCTATGGAAAATCTATATTTTACTCTTAAGTTCTAAAATACAGTATACTTTATTATAGTAATATGAATAAATTATAAATTCTTGTAACATTTTACTCACCAGAAGTCAGATCTTTGTAGTTTTGTTGGTTTGTCAAAACCTGAGTAAGAACAGACCTCATTGCTCCTCCCATTTTAGTTAGGTCTTCTAAAAAGGAAATTTGAGGTTCCAAGAGCTGAAGGACTTTGTTAAGGTCTTTTTCTGATGGTACATCAGCTGCTAAAAATTTTTTGAAAATACATATGCATTTATTTATATATAATATATAATTAAGGCTAAATTTTTAAAAAATATTTTGCTTAAAATAATAATAATTAGAGCTAAGTATGGAGGGGCACACCTGTAAGCCCAGCACTTAGGAGGCTGAGGCAAGAGGATTGCTGAGAGGCCAGCCTGGGCCACATAGAATAATATTTTATTCTTTTTAAATTATAGTGGCTTAGATTATAAATATTTTATAATCAAGTAAATCAATATAACCACTCTGTTTAGAAAACTGGTATTTGCCCAGTTTTCTAGCCTACAATAGACTTGCTCAGAAATTCAGTCCTCTGGAAAAAGTAGATGAAAAAAGAGATGACCTATAAGTTATTTGCATTTAATTTGAGTAAGAAGCATTTAGGTACATGTAATCACTCCCAAGAAGACTATAAACTGGGCCAGTGATGTAGCTCAGAGGTGCTGTGCCTGCCTGGCAAGGGCAAGGTCCTGAGTTCGATCCTGAATACCACAAAAAAAAAAAAAAGACTGTAAGCTGTATGAATTGCAAACATGTACTAATAAAATTTTTAAATTATTTTAAAAACAAGAAGCATTTAGTCTGAGGTCGAGGGTCCTATACTTCCAGACACATAAAGGTGACCATAAGATCATTTCAAAATAACATAGTATTTAAGAGACAGTTAAGGGCTGGGGATTTAGCTCTGTGGTGCCACTGCCTGCCTCAAAAGCACAAGGTCCCGAGTTCGATCCCCGGTACCAAAACAAAAAAAAAGATAAACATAACCTTGGATTATTTATAGTGATCTTCACACAAAGTAGAACAGTGTGAGGAGTCCTCTGTTTTGTTTTGCACAGAAAGAAATTAATGCTGAGAAATTAATGAGAAGGAGGTAATAGAGGAAAATGTCATGAACCCATATTCATGAACATTATCTTTACAGGAAAAAAATGCTTCTTTTCATTCATTCATGTTTTCAGATAATGGTAACAGTAATTATCACAGTTATGTATTTATGTCATCTACCTTTTTTACTGCTAAATATCACCAAAGAATAAAGTTAATGTAATATGCTTTTTTTTTTTCAGATAAGGTCTCACCATGTAGCCCAGGCTGACCTAGAACTTACAGCAATCCTCCTGCCTCAGCCTCCCAAGTGCTGGAATTACAGGCATGTACCACCATGTCTAACTCGTAATACACTTTTGTGTGAAGTATTATTTGATTAAACTAATGGCAAAATATAAGGTTCTTATAATAAATGATTTCTACCTATTATTTTCCTAAAATAGGACACTTGTAATACAAAATGTAAATTTTTTAAAAAGCCTATTAACTAGTTTGTGAGAAACAATACAGAAGGCAATTTCAATATCCCAGCTAGTATCTGGTTCCTTCATTCCAAAGAGATAGTAATTTGGGACCAAAATAATTTTCTATATCTTAATATATATATTCTAAAAGAAGCACTTAACAAAGGTTTTTATATTTTTACATAAAATGTACAAATAAGGAAATATAATAGCTTGCTCATGATAAAAATAACAAAATAATTTTAGGAATAATGAAGATGTTATACTCTTTCACACTTTAAATATGAGGACAAACAGAAGTTAAAAATGTATGTCATAAAAAATGTATGCCATTGTCTCAAATTGAATAATTATAGTATAAATAATTTTAAACATAAAAAATACTATAGTCTCAGATAAAATTCATTAGAAATGGAAAAGACATCATTAAGAGTTAATAAATTTGGGGCTGGGGATTTAGCTCAGTGGTTTTGCTGCCTGCTGCACAAGCATAAGGACCAGAGTTCGATCCCCGGTACCAAAAAAAAAAGTTAATAAATTTGTTTGATAGCCAGGTATGGTAGCCTATAATCCCAGCACTTGGTAGGCTGAGGCAAAAGGATTGCCAGTTCGAGGCCAGCCTGAGCTACCTAGCGAGTTCATGGGCAGCCTAAGCTACATAGCAAAACCCTGTCTCAAAAGACAAAAAAAGAGGAAAGAATAAGTTGGTTTCATACCACTAATATCTCTAATTCACAATGTCAAACTGAGAATTTTAAGAGACCTAAATCCAAATATTTAAAGTGCATTAATAAAGACTGTGACTAATCTAAAAGGTAAAAAGAGTATCAGTAATTTGAATGTCTCATCTCTTTAATACTATCATGATGCATATACCCATACACTGTACTAGTAACATGAAAGTGAGCAATTTCACCCTATTTTAAGTTCTTATATAAAATATATAAGCAGGATTAAATATATATATAAGCTTCTATCAAAAGAAAAATTAGGACAACAGTACTTTATCTTCTAAAAAATCTAAGTTAAACATTTCCAGGGATTCTTAATTCTGCTTTATCTAATATAATAAATAAAGTCACTTTAACCTCATAAGATGAATTACTTCCTCATCCCCAAAAGGTCAAGTAAGTTTGAAGTTTGGTCAAAAACATCTGACTCTTAGAGGCAGAATGCAACAAATCATGTCTACTACAAGGTATCTATCAAGTTTTATCATTTATTTTAGTGTATTTTTATTATGTCTCTGTATTTTACAGCCATCTCTTTTAAAATGTTAAGCACACACATATACACATATATATATGATACATATAAAACTTCACCTCATTATTAATGTTAACACTAAACCTTTGTGAATTGGGAACTTAAAAGGGGTACTCACAAGGAGTAGATTAAAACATACCTGGTTCATTATAGCCTTCTCTTAAGTACTGAATAAGGCAAAAAATAAATCGTGGGAGAACAAATTCAGACATCATCAGTAAGTCTTTGGGAACACAGGGGATATTTGAACTTGATTTAATTTGATGCCTTTTGCAAAACCTGTATGGGAAAAAAAATTTTTTTTAAAGAAATCAATAGTAATGTCCAACTAGCCAAGAATATATTACTTCTATTTACAACATTCATAAACAAAATACAGACCAATATCAAAGCCAATATAATCCTTTATTATTTTTAAAGCACCAAGTTAAAAGAATACAGTTTTAATGGGTCTTAAAAAAAAAAAAAAGGGGGCCGGGGATTTAGCTCAGAGGCACCGCACCTGCCTTGCAAGCACAAGGTCCTGAGTTTGATCCCCAGTACCCAAAACAAAAAGATGGGACTCAAGGAGATTTTTCCTAACAAAAGAACATACTAGCTAGCTTCCAACTAGACTACAAAGTGAAAATCTTATTAGAAAATTTATATTTTTAACTACAATTTATTACTTTCAAGTACTATGTTATTACTTCTACCCTTTATAAACCACTAAGTACAAACTGATCGTTTCCAAAGAATTTACATTTTCCATTTAACTGTTTCTAACATATTGCATTAATCCATAAATAAATTATAAAAATATTTAAAAAGAAAAAACCAGTTCCTCAAACTTAATGTCATTACATTTAAATCCCAATGAAATTAATCACAAAGTAATTCTAAAGTTCAAATGGAAGAGCATATATGTGAAAAATATAAGCAACTCTTGAAAAAATAATTAATGATAAAGAGCCTTAAAATATGATACAAAACTTTTAATTAAAGCTGATAATTTAATAACATCAACAGACTCTATGAAGTCCAGAAAAATAATACGTAAATTTATAGCATCTCAATTCAATGCAGTGGGCAGAAAACTTTTAATAAACTCCTTTAGGACAAAATTGATTATTTAAACACACGAAGAAAATTTGATTTTTACCTTATACTATACACAAAATATATTCCAAATAAATTTAAAATCAAATATGAAGAAAAAAACATTTTTTGTTTATGTTTCTCCAATACTGGAGATGAACTCAGGGGCTCACACTTATACTAAACTACAACCCCAGCCTTTTTTTTTTTAAGTCAGAGTCTTGACTGTGGGTGTAGCTCAAAAATACTGTGCTTAGGGGGCCAGGGATTTAGCTTAGTGGTTCCGCCGCCTGCCTTGCAAGCGCAAGGACCCGAGTTCGATCCCCAGTACCAGGGGAAAAAAAAATACTGTGCTTAGGATCTGTGAGGTCCTGGGTTCACTCCCAAGTACCACAAAAAAAAAAATAAAGACAGTATCTCACTAAATTCCCTAAACTGACCTCCAACTTGTGATTCTACTGACTCAGCCTACCCAGTAGCTGGGATTACAAGTGTGTTCCACCACATCTGGCATTATGAAATGTTCTTATCAAATAGTTTAACTTGAATGACACCAAGTCTCTAGGCCCAAGTTCATTTATAAGAAGTATGAGAGATAAAGGAACAAGTTAAATGACCCCACACACACAAAAAGGAAGGAAGGAAGGAAGAGAGAGAGAGAGAGAAAGAAAAAAAGAAAGAAAGAAAGGGAGGGAGGGAGGGAGAGGGAGACAGGGGGGAGAGAGAGAGAGGAGAGAGAGAAGAGAGAGAGAGAGAGAGAGAGAGAGAGAGAGAGAGAGAGAGAGAGAGAAAGGAAAGAAAGAAAAGGAAAAGAGGCAAAACAAGAATGTGGGACATAAACCTGGCATGATGGTGCACACCTGTAATCCCACCATTCAAGCCCAGCCTGGGCAATTCAGTGAGACTCTGTCTCAAAATGAAAAATTTTTAAAAGGGCTAGGGATGTAACTCAAGGTGAAGGCCCTGTATTCAATTCCCAGGACCACCACCAACAAGAAACAGTAGGACATTATTTACAGGACAACTGACTCCGTTTCTGCAACATGGAAAGAGTATGGGAATGAAGTGGGTAGGGAGCCACTCTAGGTAACAGACTTGAGAGACCCAATACTCACATGTAATGTATGGCAGTTCTAAGAAACCAACTTTAAAAAGCATTTTTCAGACAGATCTCATCATGAACTGGCCTTTAGTTCATTGCTGTTAATTTTATTAGGTATAATGGCATTGTGGTGACATAAGAAAATATGGCTATTTGATGACATTACAAATATTTGATGACAGTAAATAATGCTAAGCATTGTAATTGGCACTGAATGGGGGAAGTGCTTGTCTTTTAGATTATAGAGAGAGAAATATTTATAAATGAAATGCTACATGGGACTTGTTTCCAAAAAATCTGGAGTAAAGGGAAGTAAGACTATACCAAGATCAGATATGAATTACTAATTGCTGAAAATAGGACATATCAGATTTCATTTACATTATGCTCATTAATCGAAACCAGCAAAGTACTTAATTCTGATTTTGAAGGCACCAATTTAAAAGAATGTAGTTTAAATTTGTCTTTAAGTCAAAAACGGCACCATGGAAGTTTTCCCCTAATAAAAGCCTATATTAGTTAAGTTCCCTATGTTCACTGCTTTTATGTACATTGTAAATTGTTTGAAATAAAAAGCTAAAAATTTTTAAACAGAAAATACCCACAATTTCAGAAGATGAATACTAAAGTATGTCAGGATGAAATGACATGAACCTAGAGATTTGCTTTAGCTGTTTTATCAAAAGAAAGAAAAAGGCAGTTGAAGCAGATGAGACAAACGTCTTGATAAAATGTTGACTTTGATAATGAATATGAAATCAATGTTCTACTGTCTTTACCTTTGTGCATGTTTGAAATCTTTTATAAACATAAGATTATCTTTTATATCTTGTAGGTTAAGGAAGATTTACTTTACTAATTCACTGCTGTAAAGAATGTTCAGAAATATTTATTATATACATAGAAGTATAATCTCATTTGCTGAGACTTTGGCACTACTTCTTAAAATTTTAAATGGTCACAGCTGGGCCTAGTGGCACAGACCTGTAATCGTAGCACTCTGGGAAGCTGAGACAAGAGAATCAAAACTTCAGGCCCAGCCTACACAATGTAGCAACCAAGATCATGTCTCAAAATTTTAAAATTGCTAGGCATGGCGGCGCATGCTTATAATCCCAGCACTTGGAAGGCTAAGGCAGGCGGACTGCTGCAAGTCTGAGGCCAGCATGAATTAGAGCAAGACCCCCATCTCAAAAAAAAAAAAAAAAAAACCCTAAAATTAAGTAAATAAACATTTAAATTTTTTTTAAGTTTTAAATTTAAATGCTCATAACACTAACTTGATATTTCTATTTCTAGAAATTTATAATACAGAAATACTTCTACATTTGCAAAAACTGTATTTACAAAAAAAGATGTTGAGGGGCCGGGGATTTAGCTCAGTGGTTCTGCTGCCTGCCTCACAAGCACAAGGACCCAAGTTCGATCCCCAGTACCAAACAAATAAACAAACAAAAAAAGATGTTGATTATATTACAGTTTGCAATGTGCAGAAATTAAAAACAATTCATTAATTCATTTATAAAAATATAAGTTAAACTATGGCAGATCCATAAATACATTTGCATTTGTTTAATAAAAAATGAAGACCAATATGCATGGAGTATCTAAGACAAATTGATAAAAGAGTTGTATAGTAGTATATAGATATTATCTTTTAAAAAGAAAACAATATATATAAGAAAAACATTTAAAGAAATATATTGCAAATTTCACAGAAATTGATTGGCATGTAGCATACTTTCACCTACTACATTAATTCTACCCATAATGTTTGAATTTGGCATAACATATGGATAACTTTTTAATTGACAAGAAAAAAATTAAACAAAAAAATAGTAAGTTATGCCATACATGTTGCTTTAGTTCCACAATTTAAAGCATTAACTTTTAACCTTTTTTTTGTTCATGAACCTCTTTGAGAATGAAAGTCATAATTCCTTAAGAAAAAGACACATATAAAAGACAATATTCAGAGTGTTCACACACAAAAGACAATAAAGTATACACACTGCTCCAGTCTACCAACCCATAAGACAGAGCTTCCACGTGCAAGGTCAATAGATTACATTGCAGAGATAGAGGCTCCCTCAGTCCTCAAGGCAGACAGAGGAGTGGGACCTGAGCACCTTCCATACTGCCTTTGTATCTGACCCCAGTATCACTGCCCACCATACTATGAAAAAGTTTAGGAAGCATTACACATTAAGGTTCAAACCTTGACTTAAATGGAAATTAATTCTTCCACCTGAAGAACATAATAGCTAAATAAAATCAAGGAAAACTTTTAAATTGCTACTGTTTCTATAAAAATTTCTGAAAATAAAGTAGAACTTGCCCATAGGATAGTTTGAGAGAGCCAGTGGTAGTCTAAAATTATTTAGACAATTAAAGACCCCATAAACATAAATGTAAAAAGAGAAAATGGACGGAAGGAAAGCCAGAAAAGAATGGGAAAACATATTGGTACAAAAACTAAAAGATGTAATGAAAGACCTTACAGCTGAAAAGCAGAAAAACAGAAAGGATTACAAGGCACAAAAAGCTCTCTTAAGACACTATCTGAAAAGGAAGGAACTCAATTCAAAAGAGAAACTGGGCAAAGAGTGAAAAACAATTTCAACAGTGTCAAGCAGCTTTGAGTAGTGAAGTTCCAACCTGGAATAAGGCCCAAGAGCAACAAGAATTTAGAAATTAGGGTTACAGGACTGTATCAAAAGGCTGTAGACCCCGCCTGCCTTGTGAGCACAAGGATCTGAGTTCGATCCCCAGTACCAAAAAAACCAAAAAAACCAAAAAAGATTATAGGCCAAAAGGCTGTAGAGGGCCGGGGATATAGCTCAGTGGTGCTACAGTCTGCCTCAAAAGCACAAGGTCCTGAGTTTGATCCCGGTACCCCCCCCCCAAAAAAAAGGCTGTAGACTAAAAAAAATTAATAAGTAGAAGAATAAGAACCAACCTGGGAACTAGTTTAAGTAAGACAAGTGCTATGGTTTTCATAATTGTCTCCCAAAGGCCTATGTGTTAAAGGCTTCATCTCCAGTCTGTAGGGTTCCTGGGAAGTGGTGAAACCTTTAAAAGACAAAGCCTCATTGAGTGT